GAAGGAAGGAAGGAAGGAAGGAAGGAAGGAAGGAAGGAAGGAAGGAAGGAAGGAAGGAAGGAAGGAAGAGGGAGGGAGGGAAGGGGGAGGGAGGAAGGGAGGGAGGAGGGAGAAGGGAGGGAGGAAGGAAGAGGAAGAGGAAGGAAGGAAGGGGAGGGGGAAGGGAGGGAGGAAGGAAGGAAGGAAGGAAAGCATTCCTCTTGCAGTCTTCTCTAGAGCTGCACAGTCTTCGTTCTGCATTATGGGGTCTCTGGGTGGGCTGAGACCTGGGAAAGCCAAGTTCATTTTCTCAGAGCTGGGCTTGACACCTAGGGGACTTAAGGAGATATCCAGGAAGTTTTCTTGGGAAAAAGAGGAGTGTGATTGGACCCTCACTTCCTCCAGCCTGCTTTTCCAACCTCGTGTTCCAGCCCTGCCGCCGGGGATTTCCTGGCCGTGTCTTCTCCTATATTTTATCCTTATTGTGATGGTTGTTAAATCGGTGCAACAACACAAAATCTTTCCTTGCAAGAAGTCTATATTAACCCCTCGACCTTCTGAGCCTTTCAAGGGTCCTGCTTGCGGACCTCTAATTGCCAGGATGCGCTGGGCTTCTTTCTGCTTCCTTGAAGGTTCTAGCAAGGGGGGTCGCACAGCTGTCCTTTCCCCCTGACCAAAGATCACTGCACCTTTTCAATCTGGGGTGGTCATCATCCTTTTCCTCCGAGTCCAGAGCTTTGCGGGAGACACATGCAGAGCCATGAGGGCAGAAGCGGGCACCCAGCCAGCCTGCCATATCAGCGGAATCCACCCGGGTGACCAACGGAGCGACAGAGGAGCCAGATTGCCCAGCATTGTTTTGCGAAATCATTTCGGCAGAGATAACCGCTGATTGTTGACCCAGGGAGTCCTCGACCACTCACTCTGTGGCTTTTTCAGGGTTTGAAGGGCAAAATTATAACATCTCTGTGAATGCTGCCCTGCTGGCTCTGAGAAAAGGCCACATCTTGACCCTAAAACGATCGCGTAAGATCAGCCTCTCTCCCATCGATCGGCTGGAAGAATTATGCTTGGATGAATGAGTATGTTTGTGGCCAGTTTTGAGATCGGGTATAGCTGATGGAGTTCGCCCTCACCCCACCCCTAGTCAAGATTTTCTGAGTCCACCTCCCTGATTCGGGTCAGTGTGTCTGATGGATTTTGTGCTCTTCAGCACCCAGAGTTCCTTTGCAGACCCATCTATTCAGCTGATTGCAGTCAACGTCATTCCAATTCTGTCCTTTAGACGATGGGACGATAATTGCGCAGTCTTGGTCTCCGCCTCCAAGGCGCTGCGAGTGGCCGGGCTGGCCCTGAGACCAGAACCTTGGAGAGAGAGGAGTGAAGAGGTCCATTTTACACGCCAGGAAGAATAAAGAAGACATGGAGTGACAGCCACCCTGGTGGTGTGACTGTACACAAGGGGCAAGCAGTGCCCATCACTCGGAAACCTCTCCCCGTTCTCACATTACTGAAACCCCCGTCTTTCATAATATGGCTCTCTCTCTTTCTTCCCCCTTTCCTAACTCAGGGAGTTGAGTTTCAGGGTGTCCACAAGGACCAGTAGTAGTAGTATTCTACCGGTTCAGCCTGGTTCGCCTGAACCGGTAGTTCTGACAATCATCTGTGAGCAAACCACTTCACTCCGACAATAAGCTGCGGGGCCCTTCCACCTGCCCCCGGCTCTATTCTGACCTTTATTTCCTGCTTTTCAACCTCAGCTGCTTTGCGCAGCATAGCTGATTGCCGTGATTCAGCTGTTTGACACACAGGGCTTGCAGTGGAAGGTGAGTTGCAAATACTGCGCGCGCTCACAATGAGCCAGGAAGACAGTTTTTGGAAACCCACCACTGATATGGATGTATGCCAAAAAAGGGCACATGGACGCCATCTTGACATTTTTCACACACACACACACACACACCCTTTTGCAGATGTCTCCAGCAACTGCCCTTGGACAGAATGTCCCTGCATAGCCTTTTTGGGAATGAGATTAGTTCAGATTAGATCCTGCAACATTATTCTGGGACATATATATTTACTTTCATTTATGAGAACCATCCTTGTTTGTATTATTGGTTTTTTGTGTGAAAACCCAAATAAAATTTTCAAAAAAAACAAAAACAAACTCCACCTGAGCAGTGCAGAGCAAGGGCAGCAAGCATGGATGTCGTCATGGATGGGGAAAACTGTGCGCTAAGCCTATGTGAGGCTCAGAAAGAGAGTTTCTATAGAGATTGTCAGCCACACAGGCCGGGGTGGAATCCAACAGGGTTAACTACCAGTTCAGTCATTTACGAGGTTCGGTGATTTACAATGTGCTTCCCTGCATGCTGCCGGTGTGCACCTGTAAATCATCATCAGCCTGCTGTGTGCTGAGAAGCAGCCTTTCAAAAAGCCCTTCCTGCATTTTTAACTGCAGCTGTGCCTCGCACGGCAGCTGAAGTTGAAAAAAATCAGGAAATAAAGATCGGGTAAGAGCCCAGGTGGGCAAAAACATCAGCCGACATGGAACCGGTTCTATGTCTCCTGTTCTTCAGAGCTACCGGTTATACAGAGGTGGACAGAACCGGTAGAAACCCACCCCTGCACCCAGGTCAGGGTTATCCCAAAGGTGCTTTTTCAAGAAGCTTCTTGGATGAGAAGCAAAAAGTCTTCAAAGGAAAACAAGAAACTCCAGTTGCCTCTTGAAAAAGCACCTTTGGGGTTCAAAAGTAGCTTGCCCCATCACGGGGCGGCGAAGACCTGTGTTATGTTGCTGGAGTTTCCGAAGGGAAGACCAGAGCATGAGAGTCCTGCCCAGGGGTGGGATTCAACCGGTGCGACAACCGGTTCGGTGAGAGTGCATTTTGCTGCGCGCACGTGTGCAGCATTTGCAACAAATCATCACCTGTGCCACCTGGAGAGCTGACAAGGTGGGCAGCGTTTGAAAATCCTCTTCTTTCCTGCTTTTTCAACCTCAGCTGTGCCACGCGAAGCAGCTGAGGTTAAAAAAAAATGCAGGAAATAAAGGACAGGTAAGAGCCCGGGTGGGCGGGAGCCCAAACAGATGAACAGAAGATTGTTGGAGCGAACTGGTTTGATGTCAGCTGCTCTTTGGAGCTACCGGTAGTATCCCAGCTCCTGATGACCAGTGACAACATCCCCTCTGGGCCCTGGCTTTGGCAGGCTCACTGTGCTATTAATCTGGAGCCATCGATCCATTCCCACTTTCCTTGTCCTCCGTCGATCAGGCCAATCCATGCTGGCTCGGTGAGCTGCGAAGTCACATAGTTCTGGAAGGGAAAATGAAGTCGTGGTGTCAGGGAAGTCAGGTGCAGTTCCTTGCCTGGGCGCCCTCTGTTTGCAGTTCCAGGGACCCCCTTCGGATCCCCAGGAGATGCAGTCTTGATCTATGTATAAAACACAACTGGTCCAAGGAAGCCCTCAGCCGTGGGAACAATGAAGTGTCCAGGTCCTCCCGTTTAAGAGGGGGACTCTGGGGGTCCTTTAAGGCCTGAACAATTGGGGGAGGGGTGTCACCTGCTCTTCAGAGCTTAGGATGGAGGTCAGATGGGCCTCTCTGGACATGCAGAAGTTCTCCGCCTCGTACCAGGTCTTTTTCCCCTGGGATATGTAGTAGAGGCCGTTCCCAAAAGGCTGCCACTCCATCCCAGATTTTTGACTTTTCCTGAAGAGGGAGTCTGCATAAAACGGGGAGGGAGGAGGAGAGAGAAAAATACAAGGCACTGAGTAACTGGGAGGAGGGGGAAGGAACGAAATCTCCCCCTCCCCTGGTAAATCAGATGGTTTCACCCATTAGCTGAAAGTCTCCTTCGGAGGACAAAGGGGGTGATCTGGAGCGTGCAATTTAGGTTCTAAGCAGGGTTGCCATCTGGCCGTTTTTCCCGCCAAATTCGAGAAATCTGGCCGTATTTCTATCTGCTTGGCCGTGAAAAATGATGTCTCCAGCCAAATTTAAACCAGTTTAAAACCAAAAGTGCATTCCATTCTTATCTTGCAAAGATTGTAACTAAGCTACCGGAATTTCTGCCACAGAAATCCCTAATTGGAGAATGTGATTGATGACTCTCAGCTATGAAAGTGTTTCATTGGAGAATATGAATTATGATACACCCAGAGGGGTTGGGGAAAAGCATGTATTTCGTGTCTCAGAATTGGCTTCATACAGGTCATGCTGACTTGTTCGCTCCTAATAAATCCTTTGAAGTATTTGAAGTTTGGCTCGAGGCTCATGATTTAATTATGACAACTTCTGGAATCCTGACAGCAAACCAACAGCAAGCCGATTATAGGAGGAAAATGTTTTTTTTTTTCTGCAATTACATGATTATAAAAACAGAGACCTTGTCATGCCCCTGGTGGAGACTGACTCTGAAGGAGAGGAGGAACAGCCGACAGGGAATGGAAGTGTGGCTCTGGAGGTTGGGGAGGAGGCTGGGGAAGGGCAGAGGCCGGCTGGGCAGCCAGAAGAAGACCCAGGCCCATCTCCTCTCCATCCTAGGGCACACAGGGAGGTGAGGATAAAGGAGAGACGTGGTCCACTGGGGAAGAGAGGGCCTTGATTCTCTTCATGGGCTGCAGCTGTGACAACTGGATAAGAGGACAGACATGCGTATGGGCCAGCGTTGGAAACAAAGCATGGAAATATTTCTAGTTTATTTGTTCCTCTCTGAGTTTGGCGTCCTTCCCGGCGTGTGTTCTGTTATCTATGGACATCTTCAAGCCCTTATTTTGCCTGGTTTTTGTCGTTTTTTACTCTTTAGAATTTATAGGCATTTTTAGTTCAAACAGCATTTCCTCCTTCTTCTAACTGTTTGTGTGGGAGTTTTTTTGTCTCCAGTCAAAGCTATTTGGAGCTTGGAAGCAAAGTGAAGGAATAAAAGGGGCTTTACCTGTTTTTTTGTGACTACATTTATTTTGTATCCCACCCTGGGTCATCACAGAGTTCCTTGGCTCATGTGTTCCCTGCTTAATCCCAAGCATACACCATATTTAAGTCTATTCAAGACATTCCTTGAGTCAGGGGTCCCCAACCACCGGGCCCCGGACCGGTACCGATCCGTGGAACATTTTCTACCGGGCCGCCGGTTTGCTGGGTGCCGCCATCTTGTTTTGATGAGAAAGTGCTTCCGGTGAGCTTTTCCAGTTGGAAAGCGGCGTTTGGGTCCTGAAGGAATCCTCGCGCCTTAGTTTCATCGAAGAGGGGGGCGGCTTCGAACAAAACTAAGGCGCGAGGATTCTTTCAGCACCCAAGGCAAGGCGAGCCAAGCGACCGTCCCGAAGCCGTCCCGAAGCCCATCGACAAAGGTACAAAGGAGGAGTTGAAGGTGACAGTTGGCTGGCTGGTCGCTCGGCTCACCTTGCCATGCGTGCTGATGTCGGTACCAGGCCGCGGATCATTTTGTGATGCCGGTACCGGGCCATGGCACAAAAAAGGTTGGGGGCCACTGCCTTAAGTTCAACACAAATCCAGTTAGTCATTGCTACGTTCAAATCCAATTAGTCATTGCTGGTCATCCATATTTGGAAATATTGCAACTTACTGTACTTTTTTTTCTGGTCATTGAAAGTCTTTCCAGAGTCTTTTATGTGGTCTGGTAGCCTCACCGCTTCCTCTGCGACCTTCAGGGCTAAACAACCATTAGAGAAGTTTATTCATTGTCCACGCATTCTTCCCTTGGTGTTTTTATTCCATCTTTCTGCCCCACCCGCCAAAAAAATGCCATTTCCAAACCTGTGAATGCTTTTTACATAAATAATATTGAGGTGAATGTATTTTATTTTATTTTTCTTTATGTACGCTGAGAGCTTAGGCACCAAAGACAAATTTCTTGTGTGTCCAATCACACTTGGCCAATAAAGAATTCTATTCTGTTCTATAACCTCCTGCCCAATTGTCACAAACCACCCCTATAAAGCTAAGAGGTCTTTTAAAAAAGACAAAAGAAAAGAAACAGAAAGAGAGACTAGGTTGTTTTTGGCAAAACGCTAAATAGCAACCGAGCAGAAGTGAAACTTTCTCTCTTGGATGACAATGGTACACAGGGTAGACACCCTAACAATTTACAGAGAGAACCTAAACTGCCCAGGGCTATCAGATTTCAGGCAAGAAGGGCAAGTCAGCTGAAATCCGTGTGTTGCAGAGCAGAGAAATCTGGCCCTTCAGATCTACGGCCTGATCTTCGCATTCCAGGCCTTCCACTCCATCCTTTGGAGTCAGTGGACACTTGGCACTGCACCAGAGGTGGGTATCCAGCCGGTTCTGGCCAGTTCTGGAGAACCAGTAGCGGACATTTTGAGTTGTTCAGAGAACCGGCAAATCCCACCTGTGACTGGCCCCGCCCACTCTATTCTCTGCCTCCCATTGAGTCCCAGCTGATCGGCTGGGTCTCCGTTGGTTGCCCTGCATAGGAGAACAGAGCTGGAAAGCAGGTTAGTGGGGTGGGGAGGGATTGGGATTTTGCAGTATCCTTCCACCGCCATGCTAACCAAGCCACGCCCACCAAACCAGTAGTAAAAAAATGTTTGAACCCCACCACTCACTGCACAGAAGGGGAGATGGTATCCCACTCCCTGTTCAAACTGGGAATTCAGAGAATTCCCGCCTCTCTCCCAATTCTATGCCTGAACTTGCTTAACGATGGCCGTGTTCGGTTAGGTGTTACCGCTGGGCGTGACTGGTTGAAGAGCAACGATGCTTCCATCAATGACCAACCCTTGAATTCCTTGGTGGGAGCTGCCTGCTGAGAATCACCCTAAACCAGGGGTGGGGGTGGTCTTCAACTGGTTGTGCCATGGATCCCCTTCTAGGGACCCCTTCTCAAAAATAAAGTGTGTTTCAACGCATAACACCAAATTTTTATCCATGGCAAGAATTGGTTTTGTGTCAAGGGAAGGGATCAAGATGGCCTCACAGATATTTGGGGTGGGTGACATAGAAGGAAACGTCATTTCAGCTTGTTACACAGCATATCCTCAGGAACCTGTGGCGTTTTGAGGCTACTAGTGTTGAGAACACCAAAGAAAGAGGAGTTTTTAGCTCAGAGAGAGGGAGGACAGGTAGATTAGACAAGATAGATAGAGGTTATAGAGGTAGGTAGGTAGGTAGGAATAGATAGATAGATAGATGATAGATAGATAGATAGATAGATAGATAGATAGATAGATAGATAGATAGATAGATAGATGATAGATAGATAGATAGATGATAGATAGATAGATAGATAGATAGATAGATAGATAGATAGATAGATAGATA